AGTTTTGGATAGGGAATAAGTAATAAGTACAGAAGTAGAATTAATTCTTTTTTTCTTTTAGTAATAGCATAGTGCAATAAAGCAACATGTTGTGATATAAAGTATATGACAGTATAAACACTATCATGGTGTGATGGGTGTCTGAGGCTGGAATCAAACTCGGGTCTTCTAGTCAACTGAACTGCCTCTTTTACCACTGAGCTATGGTGGATGGCAAATAACAGATGGACCCAAGGGCAGAAGAATAACATGCAGGCTTAGATGACTGAACAAAAAGTGCTTTACTGAGGAGTCCAAGTTCAAAAGTACAACAAAAAGGAAGCCGTGCTTCCACAAAAAAAATACAAGAAACAAAAGATGAGCAAAAGGCAAATCCAAAAACACAACAGACTTAGCTTTCTTGGCAAGGATAACACATGCATAGTAGGACTGAACACAACTGAAAGAAAGAGGCATGCTTAAATAGGCAAACACAAACAAGGTAATGACCCACAGGTGGGAGGAATCAAGTCCTAATGAGTAGTAATACAATGAATTCTACAGAAGCTAGGGCCACCTAGTGGCTGGGAGAGTCATTACACGGCATAAGTGTCAGTGCCAGCTAATGGTTGGGAGAGTCATTACAAGTCAGCACCAACTAGAGGCTGGGAGAGTCATTACAAGCTGGAGCCTTACAGAAAGAAAAAATTGAGCATGCAATATATTAATGTATAAAGTATAGTGAGGATAGGAAGGAACTAATAGCATATCTAAAGGATAAAGGTAAGAAGAATAAGGATGTGGGATATTTATTGGGATATGAATTTAATAGTGATAGAACAGGATATAGGATTTTATTTAATTTTTTATATAGCACAGGACTAGATAAACGAATATAATATAAAAGATGTTCTGTTTCGGTTTGGAGTGTAAGGGGTTCAGTGTGGAGGATGGAGGAGCTGAACACGCAGCGCCAGCCGATACCTGGACTCATGGCTTCAGAGTTGAGAAGGAACAACTAATATAATAAAAGAATCCTGACTGCATAATAGCACAGTAGGTGGTGATATGCGCAAAGATTGCAACTCGCCATAAAACAAGGAAGAAGAAGAAGAACTGGGGCAAGTTCAAGTTCAAACCGGTGCACAACATTTTGCTACGGTTTCCGGATTGAACGACATGTTTCCTGGAAACGGTGTGCAACGGGGTTGCATTGAGATACGTTTTCTCTTGTTTGGTGGGTGTGTAAAAAATGTCAGCCCAATCAGCAGCAACATGTATATAAACCACGCGGTATTAAAGAGACAGCTGGCACAATGTAATTAACATAAAAATAAATGAACAAGAGCAAGTATATTGTTTGCACATATTTATTTACATTAAAGGCAAAATAACTGAAATAATAAGAGCACAGGAAGCCTATAGATCTGGAACTTCTTTAAGTCTGTCTAAATATCATTTAGTAATTGCAATGTCTTCTTTACCAGGTTCCATGTACTGTACCCAGTGGAAAACCCCCCAAAAGTGAACCGTACCGAGTCGTACCGTGCCGTACCATGCAGTGGAAAAGCGCCATTATATGGGTGCTAAATTGTGAAATGGTTCCCCCCACTATCAAGGAGATGCCAAGCAGTCTACCACTATCATCTCCCCATCTGACTTCAAACAATTTCCAAAGAGAAGTAAATGACCCCCGGTGCCAGGTGGACCGGCCATAAACATGCAAATGGGCCATAAAGGGAGACAAAGAAAACTTCTCCCGCTCAAAAATTCACGCCTGGTATTGGCTATGCCACCCAAAGGTGGGTGTGGATAGAAACTATGAAACTCATTAGCTTAGGCTAATCTCTGCTCAGAAAACCTCTTCTTTTGAGACGACACTTTCCAAGACTCCTAAAACTCTCCTCTTGAGTTTGATTTTCCGGCATTTTTTCATCTTCAAGTAACTCTGTCGATCCGCTGTGGACTTTCCTATCTTCAGAACAACCAGAGAAAAATTTCCAGCTCACTTCTAAAAGAACTCATCAAGGACCTCCATTGTCTACCGCATCACGACTCTTGTTTCAGCAACGAAGCCAATGCAAGTGACCGTTTACAACTATTTAGATGCGTGTTTAAGTTTCAGCCCCTTTTAAGGTGATTCTGCTACAGTTAATTCGAAGATATAATCTAAATATTTATTATTAATCATAACCAGTTATAATTAGTCATAAATATTTCTCTTTTGAGCTGATTTACTACATATTTATATATTTTGCTATTGTATTGTGGAGTGACACTTTCATAAACTTTTCTATATTCCTCTGATTATATAATGGTAAATATTACAATAACATAGCACAACAACAGTGATCAGCAATAATGATAAGCCTAATACTCACAATAAAAATAATAAGGCCATATAGATCATAACACAGTCTCGGAGGTAAGAAGTGGATTATCCTTCACCTGAAAAGTGTTTTCATCCTGAAATGCGAGGCAAATGTTGATCACAATAATTAGGAACCACATTTTCCACAAATCCCTTCACTCGATTGGGATTTTCTCTTTTATTCTGGACGGCAAGGGCAGTGACTGTAACATTGAGCATACTTTGCAGTATTAAACACGTATTTATACCGATTTCATCAGGCTCCGAAAA